GAAGAAATTGATATAATTAAGCCAACTAAAAATAACCTGGGGTGCAAGTTTGTTCAACTGAAAAATTTTTATGAGATAATTTGTGTCGCACACAAGCAGCAGAATGTACTGGTCAAGACAAAAGGTTTTTTTTTTTGATTTTTAGTTTGTTTTATTATATACTTACTTTTCTTTTTAATAACATAAAAAAGGTTTATATAAGATATTGTTTTAATCCACAAAAGATTTCTACTGAAAAAATAACTTGTTATGTATATGATAATATAGATTTGTTCTATATAGTGAATGCAAAATCGATGATTCCCTTTTAGATTTATGTAATTTTTAGTTATGCAAATTTTTATATGTCTTATTTTTTATTTTTTTTATGATACATAATTTTTTTTTATTTAAATTTTATGAAGTATTTCATTTTTAATATAGCAGTAATTTACGCAAAATTTACATTTTTTTAATTTTATATATAAAATTTGTGTAAATTTTCTATGGCATATTTATTTATGCAAAAGGATATAATTCTATTTGAAAGTTATAAGATTTGGGCCCGAAAAGAGTTTTTACTAAATTAAAAGTTCGATTTGAACGGAAAAACGATCTAAAGTAAGAGTATATTTAATTAACTTTACTCAGGTACATCGGGTAGGATTTTGTATCCGGATATATAGATAACCCGCGGGTAGAGATGTGAAAAGTTCGGTCCGGTTCTGACTCGACTCAAAAGTCAAATCATTGTTAAATGCTCGGTCCCAAGCAGACTTGGAACTTCGACTCTCTCTGTACGTGCATCTAGCGCTAGTATATTTTAAAAATGCAAAGTATGCATTAATATGCTTTTTTTATGCTATATCTAAATATGCACTAAATGCACGTGCAGATGCAAGTCAAAGTCGGACTTTTCATATCCCTACACGTGTGTTTACCTGTTGGATAACCGGGTGGCATTTTTTTTATCGGGTACCATCACTATAAATGGTACGAAATCCCGAAACTTTGACTAACACTATGCTTAACACTAGCAAATTATTTGAGATTTTGTACTTTTTGGGATTTTGGAATTACACTACAATTTAGAAAGTTTTTTTATTATTAATTTTCTGATTCTATCCATTCATTCGTATTAATTTATTATAATTTAGAAAAGGGTTATTATTAATTTTCTGTCTATTTATCTAGAGATCACATTCGTATTAATTTTTGGATTTAGATAGAATAAAAATTAGTTTAGAAAGATTATCAAAATTTTTTGAAATAAAAAGCAACGAGAATAAGCTATCTCTCAACATTACTTTATCTAAACATTACCGACATTTATAAATTAATAAAAATGAACAAGAAAAGTACGATTCATTTATTATTTATATTGATTGCAATGATAGTCATAACAGATTCAAGTTATGCAACTCCAACTCCAATTATTCACAAGAGAAATGATGTTAAAACTACAAGAGATGCAAAAAATGGAACCGACTCTACATCTGTATCCCCCCTATTGCAAAACAATTTGGCATAAATACTAATGAAATTACTGCAGATAGTTCAAAAAATTTTCTCACTGGGTTGTTATTTTTTAACGATTCTGACGATCCTAATGATAGTGTTCAATCTTGCACTGCCAGTATAATTAACACTCCAAATGGTAATATCGGGATCACTGCAGGGCATTGTCTTATTAACTCTCAAGGAAAAGCGCATCAAGATTTAGTGTTTTCTCCTGGATATGACCATGGGCAAGATAGTCCACTTGGCCATATTCCTGTTGCTGTATTCCAAGTAACAAATAAGTTTCGTTCAACTTGTAGTGATGATTCTGATTATGGTATAATGAGGTTTGCATTTGAAGATCCAAGTGGGAATAATAAGCCATTACAAGCTCATACAGGTGCTTATGGTTGGAAGATAAATATAGGAAATAATGTTCAGACAACTGTCGTTGGCTATCCATATCAAGGAAATATTCCAAATTGTGCAAATAATATAGAAACCTTTTGTATATAGCAAGGAACAACAATATTGACAAGAGATGGTTATTATGCCATAACTGGTGGAGTAAATTTTGGGAATGGTGCAAGTGGAGCATCTTGGATATGGAATTATGACACAAATACAAATGTAGGATAGATATATGGCACTTTAACAGGTTATGACCAAAATCGTCAAGAATCTCTTTCACTTGTTTATACTATTAATGATTGGTATACATTATTGAATTATGTTTCAAATAATTAAATTAGGCCATATAAAAATTTTTTGGTTCTCTTAACATAAAAAAAAAGAATGACCTGCCCGCCCAGACTTTTATTTAAAAAATTTTAAAATTTTTTACACCTATAAAAAATTAGCCGAAAAATTTTTCGGCCGATCCGGTTAAGTAATTTTTCGGTATATAAAAATTTTTTTTTGAATTTGTTCAATTTTTATTTACTGTAATACTGTAATATTGATATATAATATCTACGTCATAAATTAAATTATATCGTTGGTCCATCAAAAATTACTATAATAAATAAAATACCTGTTTTACAAATAATTTATTATTTATTATTATAATTAAAATTTTGTTTGAACGCTTGCCCCATATGTTTAGTGTTTAATTTGTGCTAAAGTTTATGGAAAAGATTGTTCTTGTCAACCAATAAAACTTGACAAGAAATATAAAAAAGGCTCCGAATATCAAATTAGCTTTTATAATAAATATATTATACAAATAGGTGCCAATATTAAAAAGTTAGATACGATCAAGAATTCGTTGATTGGACTAAAAATTCAACTACTAACTTGCTTTGACTAGAGTAGCTATCCGGATGACTATATCTGGATTTAGCGCAGATATTTTTTAAACAGATATATTCGAATCTGATATTAAATCGGATCAGATTATCTGATCATAATAATATTTATAATATAACAATAATGTAAAAAATAATACTAACATATTATTCAGGATGAATATTTTGATATTGATCGATATTCCTTTTTAAAAATATCATTCTTTTAAAAAGTACCAGTGAAAATTCTTGTTCTCTTTGATGTCATTAAGTTATCCATATCACTGAATAAACGTTCACTTGGGGTGAATGTTGCTGGAACGCTAGTTAAATTCTTGCCAATTTAGATAATATTGAAAATTTTTTCGAATATTAATAACTTCTTCAGAAGATTCATTAATTTCATTAGAATTGGAAATGTTAATATCAGATATGTTTCATCTTTTGTTAGAAATAGACATTTTTAACGAAAGTAAAAATAAAATAATAATAATAATCTATTATTTATATGTAGTCACTGATAAATGGGAGCTTTTTAGTAGAAAAGGGGTAAAAAGTTTTTAGTACTTTTTTTTAATTTTTAAATTAAAATATCTTGACAACTACTAAATCAAATTTAATAAATTTTTTTTATTTTAATTTGAATTAAAATAAAAAAAAATTATCAAATTTATTGTCGCAGCTGATGCTGAAATTTAGGGTCTCAATTTAAATCTATAATACTTACTAAAATTTACATATACTTTTTTACTAACAACTCTA